CAAACCCTGGGGAGGGGAGTGGCGTGGGGAGGCCAGGGTCTCGGGGAAGTGGCCTCACAACTGCCCCCCCATCTCTCACTGGGGCCCCAGCCTCTTCTTAGGGGAGGGTGTCTGGGACCTAGTCCACCATCAGCTGGTCTGGTTGGAGCCTCAGTCGCTTGTTAAAAAGAAAGCATTCTCTGGCCAGCCCTTTTTGCAAGGCGGCAGAGAGGAAGAGGAGGGGGAAAAGCTCAGCTGATTAAGGCAAAGGATGGCTGGCCCGAGGGCTGTCTTGGCCGGCAGCATGGGGCGCCCTCAGGCCCGCTCCCCTCCCAGCACAGAAGCAGGCCTTGTAAAGATCCCAGCTGTTGGGTTACACTGGAGTTCATATCACAGTTTATCAAAGAGGCTGCATTTTCTCTCTCCTCGCCTTTTCTACCGAGTATCAGTGGACCAGTTCATGGGAAGACAAGGCCCGCACTTGTCCTGCCTGCATTGGCGCGGAGGGTGGGAAGAAGCTGGAAGAGGGAGACCAGTGCACACGAACACCCGCCCTGGGCAGAGCTGTGGTAGTGGGCCCCAGCCGGGTGCTGCTGGGTGCCCCGGGTGCTGGGGCAGCCGGCCTGGCACACCAGAGCCAGCTGTCGGCACAGAAGGTCAGTTGTTTCACTCTCTCGAGTCCGGTTTCCCATCCGCACAGCCCGCTGCGAGAGGCCGAGGCCACATCACGAGACGGAACCGCAGCTCCCCTTTGCTAAGCTGTGCCGAAAGCTGTGACATGAAGTTGTGTGTAACCCTCTCTGCGAACGGCAGGCAGCACGATCGTCTTTGTCTTACAGGCAAAGCAGAACAGGCTTGGAAACAGGTCACACGGTTAACAACGGGAAGACCCGGGATTCGAACCCCGGCCTGCGCCCCTTGAGAAGCTCCCCTCTGAATCCTGCCCCGAGGGCCTTGGGAGGCCCGTCTGCCATTCGCCCGTGGAGTTCTGCGGAGGGGGCACGGGTGTGGGCAGGTCTGGGGGCGCCTGGCACCGGCCCCTCCTCAGCCGCCCCTAACCCTGCTGTCTTCCCTCTAGGTGTGGGCCTGCGAGCAGGTCCCGGCAAGTCCGGCTGAGATGGCGTTTTGAGTCCTCGAACTCAACACGCGTCTGCGCTGCTACGCCCACCAGATAACAAGGCGTGGGGGTCCACAGAGGACTGCCCAACCCAGCCAGGGGCCTGGCTGGAGTTCGGGGCCCACGCCCACTCCCACCCCCTACGGACGCGCAGCCTGGGAAAGCTGTGGGGGAGAGGAAACGCTCCGGGTCCTGAGGGAAGTCAGGCAGCCTCCTCTGTGCCAAGACCCCCCCAGATGTCTGTCTTCAAGGACTCCAGATGCCTTTGTCCTAGAGACGGCGGCCGAGCTAAACACACTACACTGCAGACACTGTTTGCCAGAAGAGTTCCTTTCCTTTTTTCCTCAATGGTCAGTCCTGAGGGTTGAGAGGAGCAGCTTACAGTTTGCAGAACACCTGGAGGGCTAAATCATTTACTGTGATTCCTACCGAGCCTGTGGCTGCATCTCAGCTGTCCCACTCGCTGTTACTGTGCCCCTCCCTAGAGCCCTCAGCAGAAGCAAGGAAATGAAATGAGAAGCAGGCAGGCCTGCCGACACTCCTGGGGGCTCATCCCCAGCCAGCTCCGCTGAAGAGCCCCTGAGCATGAAAAGGAGGAGGAAAGCACATTTTCAAGGCCACCCCCACATCTGACACTGCACTTGGAGCACCGTGATGGCCCGGACCGTGACCCGGGCTGGCCAGCCATGGCTGGGCACGCTGAATTTATAGGCAGTTGGTCCACAGAACTGGTGTGGCCCACAGGATGCAGGGCCAGGTGGCTGTCGGCTTTAACACGTACTGACAGGTGCTGGTGCTGCTCAGAGTGATGACAGGCTGGACAAATGAAGCAAAGGACTAAGGGGGACAACATGTGCGAGGGCCCGGCCACAGCTTCCTTGTCCCGGCCCTGGCTCCCTGTGTGAGTGCCAGGGCTGGGAGACTCCGGAGCTGTGTGGGGCGGGAGTGAGGCTGGGTGAGAGGCCGTGAGGTCCTAGTGTGGCCCACGAGGGATGTGAGCCCCGGAACAGCGAGCTCTCGCCATGCTGGACGTGCTGAGCCCCCAGTGGACCAGGAGGGAGGAGCTCCTGAGAAGTGGGGCCCCACGTGGTCTTGGTTCTCAGCTGTACAACACCTCTCAAGGCACCTGACCCGGCACGGAAGGGATCAGGGGGTAGCTATGGAATCAGCAGAGTGCGGGGCTCTGCAGCCCAGCTCCAACCAGCACGGGCGGGTCCATGGCTTCCTCTCGTCTCCCTTCTGTAAAAGGAGGGTTCTCATTACCCTGAAAGCCTGGGAGATGCTGCGAAGCACGCGAAGCGGCAGTGCCCTGCAGCCTGGCAACGGGGATGCTGGGGCGGCAGGGCCCGCGCTGCCGCACTGCTGCCTGGAGCCGTCTGGGGGTGCTCAGTCCCCTGTGCGCCCTCTCCCTGCACTCTGACAGGGCACGTGAGGCTGGGAGACGGTGGTGGAAGAACCACGACAGCCCAGTTCTCCAGGGAGGAAATGGGCTACGACGGCCTCTTTCAAAGGCCTCTCTCCCCTCTGGTGCCTGAAAGTCTTCGAGGGCTGACACCTCTGCAATGTGGAAAACCACATCCAGTTAACTGTCACTCATGTGGGACAGCCTGTCATTCTCCTGGTGGGGGATCTCTGTACCACATCTAACCCTAACTCCGATCCCCAACTGTCCAACTTGATGCAATGAAAACTGCAAGTCTTCCTTCTGGCCAAGGAGGATAAGAAGCCACTTTGTCCCTCTTAACTTTGGTTCTCAGTCAGGGCGATTTTGCTCCAAAGGGACACTTAGAAATGTTCGAAGCCACTTTTGAGTGTCCCAACTGGATGGGTGGGGTACTCCTGGCACCGAGTGGGCAGGGGTCAGGGAAGCTGCTCAACACCCCACCCTGCACAGGACCCCCCGCCGCAGAGAACGACCCGATCCCCAACGCCAAAGTGTGGTGACACCCTGCCACCTCCACAGGACACTCTGGGTAGTCCAGACCGTCACAAGCCCCTTCCTCCTGGCGGGCAGAAACTTTGGGTCCTGCTATTTGTCCTTTTGGTGAGGCAAGCCTGTTTCCTCCTTTGACTCAATCCTTTTGCCCGGTCTCCATGTCCCTCAACTCCCAGCTCGGCCCTAGAGCCGGGGCCCAGTGGCTCCCTCCCTTGTGCCCCCAAGAAGCCCTGTTGGGGACCCGTCTCCCTTCACTGCCTCTTGCCACGCTTCTCCTTCCTCTGCTTCTTCTCATTGCCTCCTGGGCCCTTTTTCTCAGCCTCCTCTCCCGGCTCCTCCCTCTTTCCCCAACCGCTGTTATACACTGGAGCTCCTAAGGGCTCGGCTGACGCTCTTTCCCTTCCCTTCCTCTCTGCCCACTTACTACTGACTGTTCTTACTCCCTAAGAATAAAAATTCCACAAGTGCACCATCCATAATAGTACCTTGCAGAGAATCAGTATTCAGCCAATGTCTGTTGAATAAATGAATGAGTGAATGAATGACTACGGCATCAATTTCCAGATTTGTATCTCAGGCCTAGGTCCCTCTTTTGAGAGACAGGTATAATAAACTGCTTCTTCAACATCAGTCTTTCGATGTCCCCAAAGCAATTTAAACTCAAATATGGGCCCTCTTCCCTCCCTGCTCCTCCTCCAGGGCTCCCATTCCAGGGATGGCCACCCCCGCCCACCCCACTGTCACCCCAGAGTCCTGCGTGTCACTCCCAACTCTCCCTCCCCTCATTCCCTCAGGCAATCAATCACCAATCGATTATACTTCCTATGAATTCTTGGATCCCGCTGTTTCTTTCCACCCCAGCGGCTGCACCCCCGGCAGCTGTCTCTCACTTTGGACAACGGCCCCCCAGACGTCCATCTGCCCCTCTACCTGTTCCCTCCAAGCAGCACGATGCTCTTTAAAGAGAGAAGTCTGGTCACACCATTTTCCTGCTCAAGCCCTTTCAGGGGCTCCCCGTGACCTCTTAGGTCAGGTCCCCTATCCTCAGTGTGGCCCACAGGCTGAGCTGAGCCCCCCTGCCTCATGCCTTCTGGTTCTCAGTAAAGTGGACTCTCCGTGCTTCTCCTGCCTGGGAACCTCATAAAGGCTGGACGCACTGCTGGGAACCCTCCTCCAACTCCCTGACCCCGCCACGAGCCTCAGAGGCCTCCGTGACTCCGGGGACCACACCAGTCTGGCCTGCTCCCCAGGTACTTGGACGGCTGTAAGAGCCCTTGTCACCCAGAGGTTCTGATCTCACCGACTGGGGGAGGGCCAGCCGTCAATTCTTTTTTAAGCCTTCCTGGGGCCCTGACACACAGCCAGAGCTGTGAACCACCGCCACTCGGCCTTTTCTGGAGGAGTCTTCCACCTGGCTTTGTTGAGGAGCCTGGAAAAATCTGTGTCCCATCTAGATTTTATTGGTCCAAAGGTCACTCTTTCCATAACCCTGGCCATGACACTGGTGATGACAGTTTCAGAGGCGCCAAGCAACAGGGGCTGGGGCCCAGGCACCACCTAGGACTAGGCTCCCAGGACTCCAGCATCTGTTCCGCCAAAGCCGCTGCTGCCAGCCACCCGGCCGAACCCTGTGCTGGCAGTGGGTGCCGAGTGCAGCATCGGTCCACCTGCCAACTGGCTTATCTACTGCCCCTGCCCCACCAAGTCTCCGACAAGGGCATTCAATGAGACGATAGCTGACCTCAAGGAAAACTTTGTCTCACAAGCAAAAAACGAATTCTTTTGTTTGAAAATGGTGACCTTGACTTGCCTCATGTCAATAGCACCAGCAACCCAGCGTGAAGGGGAGAACCCCCTTCGTAAACACAAATGTCAAGAAAAGAAGACTAGTGACATGCAGGGAAAAGCAGCTGACCGGACACCCCTCACGGCGGCTGTGGCAGGGGGAGGAAGCACGCTGACACTAACCTGATGATGAAGGCGCCTCTGACCTCCAGGAGCTTCCGTTCACTGCTGAACCTCTTGAGAAGGTTGATCATGAACTTGTAAAAGTAGGAGTTCATGGTAGGAGTGGAAGGAGAACACTCCAAGCCTTTGGTACCTGTAGAGAAAGGGACAGAGCTGGGATTTATTCTGACTGTATGTCCACAGGGTGATGAGATCCCTCCCCCCCTCGGATGTAAACAATTGCAAAGGTCAAAAAGGCAGCGTGTGTGTGGGGGTCTATGTGTAACAGTGAGGGAAAATCTTCAATCGGGGTCACAGCTGACAGCAAAAAAGCAAGGACTACACAAGTATGTACAAGCAAACGCAACTCTGCTCACTGCAATACACACACTTGCCTGCCCATCCCCCCAGCCAACCCCTGACCACTTAGGGAACTGGCCTACATGTAAGATCCTCTGCTAGGTGCTATGTAGTTTTTATTTCATTTATTAATCTATTTTTACCAAACTTATTGGGATAACACTGGTTAATGAGACTGTTTCGAGTGTACGTTTCTATGGTACATGATCTGTATGATTATATCGTTACCTCAATAAATATGCGTGGCCTTTGTTTGGCCAGTAGACAAATGACAAGTCAAACAGAAAAAATGGAGAAAGACAGGCCCGCAATCTCGAAGGTCAACAAAAGCCACTGTCCTTTCCCACTGCCACTTAAGAAAAAGTAAATTATGTCTACACCCACTGCATTAAAGACAGCACACGCTGGCAAACGGGTACCAGTGTTTCAATCTGCACCCCATGTTTTGAAATCATTCTTCCTCATCTTCAGGCCAGGATGCTCTTTTAGAGTTGTGTTCTGAAGACTTTCAAAGCCCAGCGTTGGCTTTAGAACCAACCAGAAGCACACCGGAGGTCTCCCTCTGATGAGTTCCGGATGAAGACACATGGAGGGCCAGATGCAGCACCCCCCCCCCCCCCCCCCGGCCATGGGCCCCTCTGCGAGGCATGCAGCACAGAGGCCGGGGCAGCGGCAGGGCTGAAGGAATGCGTGGGTAGTCCTGGTGTGCATCCGCACACCTTCTTTCCCTTCTAACACAGGCTGACCTCAACGGCATCAACAGTACTGCTGGAAAGAGGTGCTGTCAGTGGAGGTAGGAATCCTCACTCCACCTGCCCGAGACATTAACAGCATTAAAAAGAAAACAGCCTAATTGCGATATAATTGACATACCACAAAGTTCTAAGGTGTACGATTCCGTGGTTTTCAGTATAGTCATAGTTGTGCATCTGTCACCACTAATTCCAGAACACTGTCATCACCCCCTAAAAGAAACCCACACCCAATAGCCACACTGTCTGTTACCCCTGCACCAGCCCCTGGCCACCGTTCGTCCACCGTTCGTCCACTGTTCCCGTGGGCGTGCCTGTTCTGGGCATCTCACATAAACGGGACCCTTCAATTTGCAGCTCCTTGGCATATTTTCAAAGTTCATCCATGCTGTAGTTATCAGTCTGTATTTGCTTTTATGGTTGAATAGTATTCCACTATATGGACGTACCATGGTTATCTATTCATCATTTGGTGGTTTCTATTTTTGGGTTATTAAGACTAATGCTGCTACAAATATTCATACATAAGGTTTTATGTGAACATGTTTTTATCTCTTTTGATTATACAGCCAGGAGAGGAATTTCTGGGTCATACAGTCACCCTCTAAACTTCCAAGGAGCGGCTAGCCGGTCTTCCACAGTGGCAGCACTGTTTTATCTTCCCACCAGCCCCGTACAGGAGTTCCAACTTCTTCATACCCTTGTCAGCATTTGTTATTATCTCTCCTTGACTGTAGCCCTCCAAGTGGACAGGAAGCGGCATCTCATAGTGGGTTCAATTTGCATTTCCCCAATGATTAGTGATGTGCTTACTGGCCATGTATGTCTTCTCTGCAGAAATCTCTGTTCGAATCCACTATTTTTAAGCTGGGTTATCTTTCCCTGTTGATTTGTAAGAGTTCTTTATATATCAGATACAGGTCTCTTACCAATTTGCAAGATACATAATTTGTAAGTACTGTCTCCAATTCTGTGGGTTGTCTTTTCACATTCTTGAGGTGTCCTTTGAAGCACAAATTCTTAAATTTTGATCAACTCCAATTTATCTATTTCTTCCTTTGGTTGCTTGTGCTTTTGGTGTCATATCTAAGAAACTGTTACCTAATCCAAGGTCAGAAAGATTTATGATATGGTTTCTTATAAGAATTTGTCATTTTTTTAAAGCTCTTATGTTTATATCTCTGGTCCATTCAAAATTTTGGTATATGGTGTGAAGGATTCCAAATTAATGTTTTTGCATGTGAATGGAGATACAGTTGTCCTATTATTTTTAGAAATGTTTGTAGCCAATTTTTTACATTTTCAGCTTTACTGAAATGTAACTGACATATAATACTGTGTAAGTTTACTGTGAACCTGTTGATTTGATACATTATATATCACAAAATGCTTAAACCACAGCATTAGCTAATACCTCCATCACCTCACATAATTACCGTTCTTTTTTGTGGTGAGAACATTTATGATCTACTCCCAGTGACTTTCAAGTACATAATAGAGTATTATTAACTCTAACCACCATGTTGTAGGTGGATGCCCAGAAGTTCTTCCACTTCTTACTAGAAGTCTGGACCTCAGGGAGGACATGGGAGGAAGCAGAGTGGCGGACAGGAGCATCTGGGACCACCACGTTCCAGGCTGGTCCCCTCTCTGGCTCAGTCGAGACTTCCTCCTCAGACCAGGGAGGGGATGGGCACACATGGGCATGAACAGGCGCGATGTGGGGAGTCTCTGGGAACCTAGCTTGGCTGTGCAAGGTGCCATAGCTCCCAGAAGCATCAGCCCGAACCACAAAACAAGAACCATTCAAGTACTAGAAGCAAGTCTATAGAAGAGCTCCTATGGGCTGACTTCATCAGATGCCAGTGGCCAGGCAGCTCCCAGTAGCTGTCTTTCTGCTGAACTCAGGCTTCCCTTATACCCTCTCACTGTCTGCGGAAGTAGGTGGGAAGTGGCAAAGGGGGCTGTGAATTACTGGGCAAGGATTCCTTATTAGAAGCCACGCCTTCAAAGTACTGCCTTCCTGAGAACCTCCCAGACAGCTCCCATGCCCCATGCAGGGGCGAAATCTCAACTGAGAAGCCCAGGGTGGGCCTCGCTCAACCTGTCTGCAGTGTGTCTTTCTGGGGTCCTGCCCAGGACAGCCCGGCCTGGGAGATCCCGAGTGACTCTGGAATGGCAAACAGTCTCTGCTCCCTGGCCCAGCAGGGCTGTTTGCAGAATCAAGTTTGCAGAATCAAGTGTCACATTCTTACAGATTGTGTTACCCTAGGCCCAGCTGGAGTTGATCTCCGAAGAGGTGGCTGCAGATACATCTGGTGAGGCAGCCCGCTCCACCCCCTTCATTGTCCCCTTCCTGATTGGGCTGCCCCACGCACACCCGCACACCCACTGGAGGTAAATGTGGACTGGAGCCCGGTTGCCTGTGTCCCTGCCCCCCTCTGGCTTCTGCATGTGCACATCATCCTACCCTGTTTCGAGCCCTAGTGCCATTTAGGCTCCGAAGTATTTCAAAGGACAAAGGGACCAACATGCACGATGACCATAAAGAAATCCTCCTTAACTGGGGCCACAGTCTCCATTCCCCAGGGGCCTGGGTGTCTTGGGTAGGCAATTGGGAGGTGCTGGCGTGTTCTGGCCTCCAAGGCACAGTGGGAAGTGCTGAGCAAGGTGTTTTAAGAGCCCAGTTTGGGAGTCCATCAGACCTGTGTTCTTCATGCCACCATTATGCAACCATGGCCAAGGCTAAGTCTCAGTTTCCTCATCTGTAGAGTGGGGGCAATAAGAACCCCTATTAAACGAGATAAAACATGTTGCCGGGGCCTGCCATAGTCCATGCTCAGTAAGTGGGGGCTGCTATGAGCAAACATGCCACAACCTGACCCACTGAAAACCTCCCATTCTGAGTCTCAGAATGAATGAGTGACGATTAGAGGATAGTTTGGAATGTCTGAGTGGGCAGACTTCAGATCTGGGAGGTAGGGAGGCTGCAAGGAGGAGAGCAGGTGACCTGAAACCCTATCAACCCCATATTCAGGGAGACAGACCTGCTACCTTGCAGTAGGCAGTCTGGCCAAAGATGGCAGAAGAGAAGGCAGGGGCTGCTCTGGACGCATTCCCAGTTTGCTGAACCACAGCTCCCCTCTGGGCCACACAAGCAACTCTCCAAGTCCAGGCCTACATGCTGGCCCCCAGAGCTGAGGCCCTTGGTGGGAGGTGGGAGGAGGGCTGAGTCATATCTGCAAGAAGGCACAGCAAGTGACTCGCCTTCTCCAGACTGTGGTTGCTGGGAAGCCCCTGCAGCTCAGCCCTCCCACCACTGAGACTACAAAGAGCAGCAGGCCGGCACCTTCTCTGAGACTTGGCTGGCGGGACGCCAGAGTGTGGTGGGAGCTCTGGGGGAGCTGTCTGGGCCTGGCTATTGGGGTGGGGCTTTTTGCCCTCTAGGCTCCCACATGCGAAAGGGACTCTGGTCAGGGCCACTGCCCTGGAGGGCAGAAGCCTCTGAAGGAGAGAGCCAGGAGCCCTGTAAAGCTCAGTGAGATCCCATCCCACTGTAGAGAGGAAACATGCCTGGGCAGGGCAGCGTCTCCCCGAGGCGGTGGGAGGGGAGCGCTTTCTGGGTGGGCTGGTCAAGGCTGAGGCCTGTCTCCTGGGTGGGGGCCCTCTCAATCTGCCCTAGCCTCAGCCTCCCACTGGCCTGCCAGCCACTTTTCTGATCTTACTAGCCCTTGGGCTCAGTTGGCTCGAGATGGAAATGAGAGATGTTCTCAGGCAGGGCTGTAGGTACAGGAGAAGACGGAGTAGAAGAAAACGAACCCACTCCAGGAGTTACTACAGGGAATGACAGGCCTCTCTCCACTGAACTGATGTCTGCTCAATGGCAGCCTCCCTGGTGGGAGCTCACAGCACCTCCTTCCATGGGCTACTTCGCCCACTTCCAGCTCCTGCTGGTCTGCACATTTGACAAGCATGGCGGCGAACGGGCCTCCTTTCTCAGCAGCTCTGATAGAAGGCAGCTCTGCTGAGCTCTCCCGCCAGC